TTTTTTTAGAAAATATGTGGTGTGATTCATTATAATGCTATCATTATATTTTTAGTTAGAAATATTTGAGGAGTTTCACTTATCAGTATGGGGCAGTTAATGTTGCAGCAGAAAAGATCTCTGAACTGATTTGTGTTAGGCAGGGTACAGGTGCATGCAATAGACCAGGGGTTTTCAACCTTTTTTAATAACTTTTTGAGACCTTCTGTCTCAAAGTCTTAGCTCATGTACCCCTTTATATTTATATTTTTTTCTTGTTTTTAAGTGGGGGGGGTGCAGATCGAGGCACCTGTGGTGAGGGAGGGAATAGGGCTGGGGCAGACACTGCACAGCCAGGATGGGATGTGGGACAGAGCCATGAGCAACTTGTCCAGGGAGTGGCTCCTGCTACTTTGCGCACCCCGGGAGGGCATGGGGGGGCATGTGTGCATGGGGTAAGGGTGGACTGCTGCTGCAGGGGGAGCAGATCAAGGCCCCAGTGGTGGAGGAGGGTGTGGGGTTGGGGCAGGGGCTGCCTAGCCAGGATGGGGTGCGGGACTGAGCCCCATGGGATGGCAGCAGCCCCGATTCCTCACTGCAGGGGCCTATGGGAGCAGGCTATGGGTGCGGGGGGGGGGCTGCAGCCACTCCAGAATTCGCCATAGCCCCCCCAAATTTCCCTGCACCGCCGCTGCCTGCCCCGAGCTCAGCCCGATCCAGCCCCCCACTGGGAAGAGCCCAGCTGCAGCCTGCAGTGGCAGCTTGCCTGTGGCCTGCATGCAGATGCGGAGGTACACACCCCATGCCCCCCAGGGCGCACATAACGGTGGGAGCCATCCCCCACCTCCCCCCCACATGCGGCTTGGTCCTACACCCTACCCCAGCTTGGCATCACCTGCCCCATCTCCACTCCTCCCCCACACCCCTTCCCCAACAACAGATTTACTAGGTGGACCTGGCTGTTCTACACATGGCTGGGCTGTGTTCCTGGCCACCTGTGTGCTGCACTGCATCTGCATGCATGCACACGGCAATTATCAGGCACATCAGTTCTGCATACCCCCTACAGCCCCTTAGGGGTACACATACCCGCAGTTGACAACCACTGATCTAAGTGGCAGTTTGAGGCCATCTGCAGGGAGGGGTGGGACTACCAGGGCCCCTACTACAGAGTGTAGTATCTTAATACTCTAAACCTGACATTCCCATCCCTTTGCCAGGTTTAGAGTAGGGGGACTTTATCATGGGGGCTATCATGGAGCTACTTACAGGGCATGGGACTATATGAGTTTAAAGTTTTACCATTTGGACTCATAAATTCAGGGGGTGCTTTCCAAAGGCTGATCAATCAAGTGCTAGCCAAACTGTAGAATTTTGCTTGGTCTTATATAAAAGTTCCTATTTACAGTGACAGCTGAGAAGACCATGTGGGTCCTGTAGAAACTACTGAAGAGACCTGGGGAAGTAGGTCTAACCGGTAAAGTGCCTACTGTAAAATGGGTGCAGCCAGGGTACAATACCTGGGTCACCAGGTTGAGGAAGGGTAACATCTGATGAACTGAGCTACTGCTCACAAGAGCTTATGCATCTCTGATTCAGTTAGTCTATATTGTGCATCTTTACTTTGCTTTTTGCTTGACTTCAGATTAACATGGCTAACTAACTCTGTCTGGTTTGTATTAGCAATTTATTGCAGTTTGACTTCTCTTCAGAGCTAAAGATCAAGTGTTTTTATTATTTTTAGGAAAGGTTTATAAATTTTAAAAATATATTGTTGTTGCTCATTCTAGGACTCTTCTTATTTTGAAAAATTTTAAGCTATAATCTTGTGAGACAAGGAGCTTTAATTCACAAGACGAACACTTAATGGTAGAATTCTCTTTTGAGTGCTTTTCTAAATTTATTTAGCCCATGAATCCCTGAACATATCATGGTAACGGGTTATATATCTTGATGTTCCAGATAGAAGCATTTATTGTTTAGTTGCTCCCCGGGGAGCTTTAAAGTAAGAAATTTGATTTGTCTCTGAAGGTGGAGAAATGGGGAACTCATTGGTTATACTAAAATTTTACAGAGTTTATATAAGAAACTTTGTGGCATTAGATTCTAGCTCAAAAGTGCTTTGGGGTACTGGTGTGGTTACTGAAATAGATTGGAAAGAACAGAGAGGAGAGAGAGACCCAATGGCATGATTTTATTTTTTTGGAAACAAATAATGGTCTGGAGTCGCATAAAAAGGATAGATTTTTTTTAAATTGGACACTTTTGTCAATACTCATCATATAAAAGTCAATAGTTAATATTTGCCAAGATAAATCAGGCTTCTAATAATGTACAGCTATAATGTACAGCAACAGAGTTGTAGAGCTATAATGCAATTGAATTTGAAACTGTCAAAGGAAATATCGTGAATGTTTTAGCAATCAATGATTAGATCTGTTCATTGTAGTTATGTTATATTCTTAAAAACCTTGGGACTCTGATTACCTGCTTTTGCCAAAAGAAGTCAAAATAGTAAATGTAATATACTAGTATCTTACCTAGAACAAAGCACCAAAAATAAAATCATGCCTAGGGTATGATTTTTTTCTGTTTTAAAAAAACATATTGATTGAATTATTTATAAAATGTAAAAGGAAAAAGAACACTATTAACCCAGTGACCCTTTTTGTCCTAAGAAGGGTAATTGACTGCTGATGGAGACATGTGAACAGTGGGCACATCTACACATGGCCCCAACTGTGTAGTTGTTACTGTGTAGTCATTTAGTACTTGCTAAAGTGCTAAAGCAAGTACTAAATGACTGCACAGTACTAGCTGTTACTGTGCAATCCTGGTGGCACACAGATTGTTTCTGACCCTATTGCGCAGTACCAATCAGCCACTGCACAGTACCTTGTTGCTACTGCATAATAGCATTGGCGTCATGGTTTACGCCCACCAATGCTACAGCAACATAACGTGTCATGCAGACGTACCCAGTAGG